CGCACTTGACCATATTTTAACATTATGCCCATTATGTAACTGTGTAATAACCATCTATGAATAGCCATCTGACGAAACTGCGCGTAAAAGCCACCGCGATAATAATAAAACAACATTTCCAAGACACAGTCATTTCGATGTTGCAAAACGCACATCCGCTAATCTATTATTAACTGCGGAAATAAGTGTGCGTGGAACCAATAATCTAGTGTGCTAACTTCAGTAAGCACTTCCGTGTATCGTAATCGCACATAACCTCACATCTTTCGACTTCGGTGAAGGAGAACTTTCGATCATAACTCAAATCTATATATGTATACTAGCGGACCCGACAGACGTTGTCCTGTCTACACGTCTTTAATTTGAAAATTTCAAACTTTTTTTAATAAGCTAAAACATTCTGGACCATTTTGATGAAAATTACCATTCTCAGATCCCCTTGAACACACACAAAAAATTTCATCAAAATCGGTCCAGTCGTTTAAGAGAAGTTCAGTGACATACGCACTCACAGAAGAATTTATATATATAAAGATAAAACTCAAAGGTGACTGACTGACATAGTGATCTATCAACGCACAGCCCAAACCACTGGACGGATCGGGCTGAAATTTGGCATGCAGGTAGATGTTATGACGTAGGCATCCGCTAAGAAAGGATTTTGATCAATTCTACTCCCAAGGGGATAAAATAGGGAATCAAAGTTTGTATGAAACTTTGTCAATTTTAAACCGATCGGGCTGACACTTTGCATGCAGGTATAAGACGAATCATAGATGAATGTGTATAATACAAGTCTGAGAACAAAAACTGTAGTCTACACTTCAGCTCTACACCGAAGCGAAGCGAAGGCGGGCCGCTAGTGATGAATAAAGCAGGAATGATAAAACAAAAGTAGAATCTACAAAACTGCGATACGAATCTGTTGAAAAATATCAATTTCGAAAAAGCCCACGTGGTGCTGAGCTAATGAAATAAAATATATTTGGTTTATTAAAAGGAATCATCATCAACATCAGCCTATTAATGTCCCCACTGCTGAGGCCATAGATATCCATGGCTGATATCCGTGGCTGGGGCACAGGCCTTCCCTGTGAATGGAATAGGGAGATTGGGCCATGACCGGGGATTGGCGGGTACTAACGACTGCAGATGCATCCGGGACCAACGGCTTAACGTACCTTCCGAAGCATGGAGGAGCTCGAGATAGAAGAGTTTTGGTCACCTATCCAATGACCGACCACTGCAAAAGTTGATTAATTTCAATGATCGCAGCCGAACGCGCTAACCACCTGCGCCATCGAGTTCCTCGTAGAAGGAATGGCAAACTATAATGATGTTCAGCGGCCACTTCAGTGTATACGTTTGCGACACCAGATTATCACTCGACCTGTATCCTGACCCCATCGCCTTCCCCGTTGAACCAAGAAAACCACACTCGTGTTGTTTAATTTTAGTCTTCTGTGAGGTATTGGTTGATCCAATACAAAAATCCGTTGAATTCTACCCTTTTTACAAACTCATTAATCGTCTAACTCAAGTAAAAAATAAAGTTTTTACCGAATCAGCGTAATCTAAGTGTCGCCGCACACGGGCCACCGACCGCAAACACAAAACGCCGCCACCGGCATATTTCTTGTAGTTTTCATACATTTTATATGGACTTGCCACACACGGTACGCCGGTGGCCGCCACACGCTACAAATCGTCGTTGCTCGCTTCTTGTGGCCCGCACCGGCCACTTAATGCGCCGATACAAAACGCCGCCACATGTCACTCGCGCGATTGCCCACCCCTCTCTCCCTTGCCTTAGTCGGCCGCTGTCTCGCGCTTCAGCCACTTTAGTAGCCGCTTCTAGCTTCTCGTGGCGGCGTTTGTGGCTGTGGCGTGTGGCCCGTGTGCGGCGTCCCTAAGCGCTTTTCGACGACTCACGGAACATCTCCAGCTATTCCAAGATTGAAAGTCAGCAAAACCTAATTAGGAGAGGCTCCCAGCTTCGTAATTGTAGCGCAAACGGGCACTTCTCCTATTGGAAACGAATTATGTACCTCTTTTTTGGTGATTCGATATAGCGTAATAGGTACGAGACGTGAGATAACTGACCAGTTTTTGTAAGTAACTAATGTTGTTTTGATATTACTCACGATTTGATAGGCTAAAGTATTGATTGCTATTTATCAAAGTCAATATAAGCAAAACTGAAATAAGGCTTCTGCAAGCAAGTTACAAATAAACTTTACACAAAATATGTCATGTTACTTAATTGTTAATGTTTAAAAAGCTCATATTGCAACTAAGGTTTGCAATGACTAATATTTGACAGTTAAGGATCATGACAAATGAGTCTTAATCAATAGTAATTTGTAATATACTGACCTGTTTTTAATTTACTCAATTAGATATGCAGTTATCAAATATCGTAAAAATATAAAAGGTGTACAAATAATATTCAAATTTTCAACATAAATTAGTTAAGATCAATGATTAATGACCAATGATGACCAATATAACCAATACAACTAACAATGGCAATACAATACTACAAATAAAATCACACAAATCACTATTACTATGAATGCTATAAGGTTGTTTTATCCTAACACTTAGTAATTATTTTTTTCTTTTACTCACACAATTCTAAATATTGTACGTAATATTAAGCAAATTATGTAAGAAAATATAACTAGAAAAAATTCTACGCGGACCAGGCAGCGGACGGGACTCGAACCCGCACCCTTCGCAATCCGGGCGAATGCACTGCACTGAGATTTAAACATCAAGCAGTTACATGCTTTAAAAATAATAAAAATTATAAATTATGTAAGTTTATGAATGTTTCAGTCTGTGGAAACTTAACTGGTTTATGAAATAGTAATAAGTGTTACTTAATTGATTGTGTAAAACTGTATGTTTCCCAAATGAAAATAAATAAATAAATAAATAAATTACACATATACAACGTTTGAAGACTAAAGTTCAAAAATAGAAGGATATCCAAAAATCTTCTAAGCATACCAACTTCCGTGAAATTATCTTTTTGTAACCTATATCATGCTAGCACAAAAAATGTTTATCTCGCAAGGGATTACAACAATTTAATTTTCGTTCTCCCCTTTTACAGCTGTTTCATTAAACTAAAACAAAACCGTGATAAGCAACTTGTTCATTCATTCTCTGCAACCGTTCACCAAGTAGATAAGAGAAGTATGTAGGAATGACCTCGATAATCGTTATCTAAGTAATTACGTTAATGGAGACAAACATACGAAATACCTGAGCAATTGTGCAAGAGTGTTTTGTTATGATTATAACAACTTATAAGATTAGTAAGTAGGCTCTGCTAATTTGTAGTCGACAATTTTTCCAGCTTCATTATATATATTTTTTTTACCGAAACACAACTCTTGTCTTCCCACATCCTAGTCACAGCAATTTTATAGAAAACCTGTATTAGTCTTACCTAGTATTATATGTATCATTCCTTTTTTTGTATTTAATGTTTATGCGGTTAGTTTCTTTGATAGTTCACCTTTATGGACTTATTTTTTAATAAATAAATCTTGAAATACATGATTTTGCATAAATAAACTTTAAAAAAAATTACACGAGTCTTAATAAGTAACAGAATATTTTGAGGAAGTTTACTAATTGAAATTGTATAGCTTGACTTGTGAGGTCACTGAAATAAATTTAAAATTACCATTAATAATGACTGTCTTGTTACTACCATTAGCAGACTTATAATAACAAATGCAACTTCAAAGCGCAAAACTAATATTTCACATCATTAAGTATATGTTAGCTCATATAACAATAGGCAGGTAGCGATAAATTTTGGCCTTGTTAAAACACTTTGATACAAGATTGTTGTTGGTTGCGTTAATTTGCTTACAATGTAATCCGATGCAGAAACCATGTTTTACAACATAACAGCACACGTTATCGACGACAAGATTTATCGTAAGCAAGAAACTAACATCAGCGATAACATAGAAGAGGAGAAACGCTTAATAATGAAAGCGCTAAATACGATGAAAGCAGCGACTAAGAATCGTGTTGCGATAAAACCAGCCCCTAATAAAAATACTAGCTTGATTATTGGAGGCCTTATCGAGCGACTTAGCCCGCCCCAAATTGGGCAAGCAAGACTTATAGGCAAAGTTTGGTACGCAACGAATAAAAGATAATGAAGATTCCGATTACATAAATGCGGTAAACATCCAATTCTAACTTGGTTTAGTGATAGTGAGGTTTTGTAATGCACCCCTCATAACGCTAAATAGTTATGACCATGAACATCAGCCTGTAAAAATGTGAGGTTTGTCATTGTGTATCATAAAACTAAATGTTTAACTTAGTAATTAATGATTATTAAATAATAGTTACATGTTCACTACGAAGCATTAAAATTGATTAAAAATATCAGTCTAAAAATAATACTCATTCAAAGATCAACATAATGTCGAAAATGAAATTCAATCTTTATTGGATTTCCAAACCAATGTTTGTTAAGCGTTTTCAGCTAATAAAAGTAATATTAAGGGAGCAAGACCCTTAGAAAACGGGAGGAAATGAACGCGACGAGAGAATGAAATTGGAAAACTTGTCCCAGGATTGCTCGAGATGAAAAAAGAAAGTAAATAAGGTCTAAGGAAGTTAGTGAAACAAGCAACGGTGGTGTAGCTGAACTTTTGTTTACCTGGGGCGAAATATTTTTATTGCGTTCCCGCCATAACAACTCGAGCATGAATAATTACAGAGTCACATTTTCAAAGCGTAAATATAGTAGTGTTAAGGTGAGTTACAAAATTTTCTTGATAAATGAGAGAGAAATAATAATAAAAAAACTGTAGAAAAGCTTTTTCACTTTCTGCATAATGATGACGGCTTCTTATGGGCTTCTCACCGCAAATCAAACATCAATATTTTATGGTGTAAACGAAAAAACAAAAATCAAAACATCATTAGGTAATGCACACAAAATTTTATTTCAAACTTACCTCTTATTCCAGTTCCCGATCTCGGCGTATCGACGCCCGTTCGAACATCCGCTCCTCCTCACTTCATTTCCTTTGAACGTCTGCACAGAATTCCCGTTAGGAGTTAATATTCCGTTCGAGGTGTTATTGTTCCGCTCCCTGTTCCTCGGGAAAGTTCCGGTGCCTGATCGGAACGTCGCGAGGTGCGGGGTTTGTTCCGCGTCTGGCGTGAACTGTTGCAGCGGAAGTGTTCCGTTGCCGCTCCAGCTCTTTCGGTTGACAGCGAAAGTTTTGAATGTTCCGTTGCCGTTTGTCGGCGAGGGTGTGACTCCGCAGAAACTACTTCTGTTATGGCTGTTCTTGATAAACGCACTGTTCTGCAGTGTCACTTGAGGCTTGATCGGCACCAGTGGTGACGCCTGGTCAACGGACATCGTACTTTATTAACTGTGCAACTGATATATCTACATTTTCGTCTGGAAAGGAAAGAAACAACTACTTTAACTTGTGGTTTACAAAATTAAAGGTGAAACCATCAACAGATTTCCTTTACGAAGAATTATTGCTGCTCAATCAATCACGTTCGACTTGTAAACAAATTAGTTGAGTGACATAGCAACCTACGAGATTGTAATGAAAAGTACGGCGGACAATAGGGTTCAATTTAGGTTAATGGTTTTGCGAGTTCAAATGGATCGTTTGGAAAATGCATACGGAGACGTATGTGAGGTGTCATGGTAATTAAATTTAATTAGGACACTATACCTTGCGCAAAAACCAAATATTTTTTATGATGATAATTATTCAAACAAAGTCATATCTACTGCATCGTAAAATACACGGAATACTTGTGTAATAAAATACCATTTTGATAAGCCAATAAATCTAAGTTTGTGTGTAGAATCACATCACCATAAAATCGCCTAGCGTTATGTGATGAACAAACAATAAAGTTTTACGATAAGAATCAGAATAGCAATGAGCAATTTTATCTCAGAAAGGAAGTGGACCAACGAGCTCGCAACAAGCAGCTTGTTTATAAAAACCACCCGTCCGTTCATCAACAACTGATGCCAGTTTTTGCGTCGACATCATACTAAGGGCTATCCTTTAGCGGTTAGAATTATAAAACAATCAATCTTTGGCAAGCCGACAAGCGTGGGTAATACCAATGTATCACTGTTACAGTAAAATGCTGTGGAAAAATTAACTATGACCTCTTGAAATGCGTTAAAAAAAATTGGTGCAAAGGAATTGAAAATCTCAAAGATTTTATTTCTGTTAGCATCTTTTCTCGCAAATAACCTTACTGAGATTGTTTTGTTTGTCTGAAAGAACATTGACATTGCATCGAGTTTTTCCATGATTGTTTTTGTATGTGTGCTGCATCAGTTAGTCACATCCCGTACGTATTGTAGAGGTTTACTCGTGAATAGTGGAAAGTGGAAACTGTCCATTAAGCTTCTCACCTTGACCCGCTTTATCCGCATTTAACTGCTCGGTTAAAACGTATTCTGTTGAGGTAGTTTAATAGTACTTCATAGTCGTTCTCCGTCGGATATAAACGTATTTCATTCACTTTAGTTTGTATGTACAACAATGAACATTAACTCTACATAATTGTTTTGTTTAGTTTGTTTACACTTTTTGAAATCCTAGGAAAGCATTGTCTATCAAATATAGTAGTTTTTACCTTAAAACCTAATTTAAAATAACAAATTATCGATTATGCTGAAATAAATGCATTTCAGCTCTCAGGCATACAATTAGTATTTTTAAGATTTTGGGACTTTGCAATCCTCAACGAAATGACAAGTTGAATATTACCTATATACCATACAGCTATTGCAACCCACTACCAACCTGAAGTTTCTCTTTTAGCCCATTAGCTTCCAAGAAGCTCCAAATATATTTATATCCAGAAATTTGATCTAAAAACTAGAAAGTAGTAACCCGCGTATTACTTGGATAATATGTACATATTTTCCTTTAAGACAAAATGTTGAAGATGAAGTTAAGTGAGATATTTTAAACTGTATGTTCAATCGTTGTTAATTTGAACTCGAAGTTTGAAAATTTTATTGTGGTACGTGTTCAGTTCGAATACAATTTGCAGTCGTGATTGGCCTCTCTGACCCAATGCAGATCGGCCGGTGTCGACTCGTTGTATAACGTTTACGTAACGTGCTCGTTAGGCATGTTGTGTCGCATTGTTCCATCATCTCACCAGTCGTTACGGCTGATGGTTTGTTGCAGACATTTTGTTCCACGCTTAGAAATGTATTCATGTGTGGATTTTCTATGCTTTTCAACTGATCTATTGCTAATATTTTGTCTGAATCCAGAAATGATTTGTAATTTATTGGTTTTCTCACAAAAAGCATCTCTGCTTTATGGCTTAAATGTTTTTGTTCCAGTAATTGTATTCGTCTATTGTTATGCTATCTCAGATTAGTATATTTTATTTATGTGTTTTGTTATTTTCAATTAAAATCTTTACGTCGTAATTTTGGTTTTACGTCGTAGTCTAAGAATTTGTTTGTATCAGAAAAGTAATAAGAAACAAGTAGGTATTTTGTAGAAGAGTACCTGACCTGTGTACAATTATTTTTATTTTGATTAATAGTTTGTGTGTTCGTGTGCTATTGAGCCGGTAGCAGGAAGTTTCCAATGCATAAACACTATAATACTATAAACATAAAATGCGAGTGGGTTAATTGACCGCTAACTAGTAATTAAACTGTAAACGTATTGGTGCGTTATCTAATGTATCCGATGGTTTACTGCTTACATATTAATTCTTTCTAGTTTCAACTTCTAGTTATGATTTTGCATTTAGCTTTACCTTGGCCATTTTAGAGTTTTCTTCAAGATAAAATTTTCTAATATCTATTATTTCTTTTTGGAAAATGACCTTTAACATAACTTACTAATATTTACGATTTGATAAGCTATGGGAAATATAATGAAATGATCTGAAAATTTAACTAAGATGATGATAGGTCAAGCAAACGAAATGTATAATTTATGAAACGGGTTACAATTTAATTAGCGTCTTAATCTGACATACAAGAGATAGTATAAAAACATTGCATTACCTTCATATGTATAGGTAAAAGTTTCACTGAGCCTTGGCCTTTTGCTTCTTGTTGTTCACAATTAACTGTCGGGAGATTAATTTTAATGTTGGCAGTATTTTTGCTGGCTATACTTAAAACAAACATAATTTTACTTACAAATAATAATATTAGATACCCAATTTAATTAAGAAATCAGTAGTTGTAACAATGATAACGTCCGCACGGGTAAAATGTTTACAATGGGGACTAGTCGATGCATTCCTTCGTATTGAGTCATTTGAAGTATGGTCCGTTGACTATAACGTGTTTTAGACTAGAAACGACAAGATTTCTTGATTGTTATGATGTTATTTATTTTGTAGTTCTACTAAATTTTTAATCTCTGTGAACGAGGCTGACGTATTTTAATCCGAAAATCAAATTTTGAATTTTCATTACTTCAGACAGACACATTATTTCAATTATTTATTTAAAATGCAGTTTTTATCTGATTTTGTTTACAGACTTCCGACTTCTTTAATTAAATGATTAAAATTCTATTGCTTTTAAAGTGATTAGAAAAACTTACTAGATTGTTTATTGTTAAACCTGACTTACCAATTTTGTATGAAGCCAATCTGTACAAGGCATTCAAGTTCAGCGCATGCCTACTGATCAGCCACGCGAAATCAACATTGACGTAGTTTTTTTCAAACATGAAACTTAAAGCTGGATTTGCTTTTATTTCATTTTTGGCTATCGGCTGCCAGTGAGTTCGTTCGCGGTAATTTTAGTTTTGGAGAATTCCACAGGAGCCTAATATTTTTCGGGATAAATAGTCTCAATACCTTTGTCTCAATACAAGTCATAAACTATTTTTGTACCGATCTTCATCCAAATCAGTAGGTGGTTTTTGTGTGATTCAATAACAAACAACAATCAAACCTTCACTTTTAAAATATTAGTAGAAAGTAGGATATGCCCTACTTTGAAGTTTTGTTCAGTAAATCTACTCTATGTATGCCGCAGTAGTACCCCAAAGGAGACCTTTTTTCATGGGTGGATATTTTAAAGGGTGTAAATCTTTGATGCTTCGGAAGGCACGTTAAGCCGTTGGTCCCGGCTGCATTTGCAGTCGTTAGCACCCCGCAATCCGCACTGGGCCCGCGTGGTGGGTCATGGCCCAATCTCCCTATTCCATCCATAGGGAAGGCCTGTGCCCCAGCAGTGGGGACATTAATAGGCTGATGATGATGATGATGATGATGAAATCTTTGATGAGTTCTTTGAGAAATTGTGCAAGTAAATAGCATCTATAGTAAGTGATTGCAAATATTTACGATGTTTATTTAGAATCTACATGAACAATGTTCTTACGCAATACACTTCCAGAATATTGTGTTTATGATGTTTCGGCAAATTAGTTCAAGAATATAGACTTAGTTTTGAACCTACTATTTACAATTTTGTTCGTAGGTACATAACGTAATTCAAACTGGCCCAAACCTTATAATGATACTTTCAAAAACATTCAACCACTATTACTCACCAGTGGACCGGACCGGCTTGCGAAACATCCAGTGGTTACATTAAATGGGAGAACAGAGTTGTTATATAACCAAACATTTGGATACCTACAAACTTTCCGGTTGACTATTAATTTGTGTACTATAAGATTCCTTAGCGCATCAGCGGGCCAGATATTTTATCCAAGTATGTATTGATCTCAAATTCAATAAACTTTTGAATGACTTGCAAATATATTTTCATTTCAAACAAAATTTTACTCTTCGGGTTGCATGATCTAAAATTATAAGTAGAGCACACAAATTAAGAAACTAATACACCTACTTCTACTTGTACCTTTTCTGTGTTTCTAAGAAATGAAGTGATTAATTATAGGTCCCGGAGACGATCAAGTCAACTTGTCAAGTCTACTTGATTAAAGCGAATATTGATAATTTACCCCGTTTAACTGACGAAAACTTGGTAGTTTTCGTCACAGTAAACAATCAACATTCGCTTCAAACAAGTAGACTTGTCTAGTCGACTTGATCGTCTGATGCATTAGTGTTTTGTTTACAATTATAGCTATTATTTAAGACAGAAACAAATTGACATAGTTTCGCCCAAACCATATAAAAGTCAAAAGCTATGCCATTGATTTTCAAAGAAACTAAGAGCCTACCTATTTTATAGTTTTTTTTTGTCTTCCATTACAGAAACAATATACTAAAGGCTTTGGTGACCAGCAAGCACTTGCCACCCTTTTTACATAAAAATAAACTGTTCTATTTTTAAATGGAAAATCATTTGTCAGTTCCTAAGTCTCACCAGATTTCTCTTTCGCACAAGGTCTTAGTTGATTTGCCAAT